TATTTTGAAACACATCAGGCACGAGATCCTGGAAAGTATGATTAGAAACACTTCAGGCATAGGGTCCTGGAAAATATGATTAGGAACACTTCAGGCACTGGGTCCTGGAAAGTATGATTTTGAAGCACATTTTGCACGGGGTCCTGGAAAGTATGATTTTGAAACACTTCAGGAACAGGATCTTGGAAAGTATGATTTTGAAACCCATCAGGCACATGGTCCTGGAAAGTATGAGTAGAAACACTTTAGGCACAAGGTCCTGGAAAATATGATTAAGAATTCTTCGGCCATGGGGTCCTGGAAAGTATGATTTTGAAGCACATCAGGCACAAGGTCCTGGAAAGTATGATTTCGAAACACTTCAGGCACGAGGTCCTGGAAAGTATGATTTTGAAACACATCAGACACGAGGTACTGGAAAGTAAGATTTTGAAACACATCAGGCACATAGTCCTAGAAAGTATAAACTACAATACAATTCAAATGAATATTGTCATGGTATGTGATGCATGATGTTTATGTCAATGTTGGTGCTATAATGATTAATGTAAGGATGTGATTTTGCATTGATTTAACTATTGATATGCTTGAATGCAAATATGTATGTCATGTGTGATATGATTACTATATGCTTGCTTGAATGTAAGAGAATGTGGCTAAGACCCGTACACCAATGTTCTATTTTATGACTCATGATTTATTTCTTGGATGGAATTCATCAACTTTTATGGACTCAACTAAAGCGACCTTTGTTGTCTGCCGTTGATTGGTACTATAACTTTTCATGCATCAAAATGTGCCCCAGTTTACTTGAAGATGCCTTTATCTTAAGGTGGTCCGTACAATTGCCCCAATATAATCTTGAGGATAATGATTAAACTCAACCATATTGCCCCAAAGTAGGATGTCTAAGAAATTTTTTCCAAAGTGTCAATGTTTTTTGTGACAACAAAATTGCCCGAGTATGCCTATTTTGAACTCTTGTCTTTATCCATATGGTTACTTATTCATAAGGTTTCCCCAGTTTAGGCGATTGAGGATGTGAAGTAGTAACTTCACCTTGAGGGTGTTCATTTAATTTTTACTAAATTTTAAGGAAGTGAAGTGCAGCCCTAGTGTCCGTCACCACATCTTACCTTAAAAATTAGGATAATTGCTACTTTAGTTGGTGTATAAATTATTCTACATTTTTACTAAAAAAGGTTTATTAATTGGTTGCTAAAAAAGGTTGTATTGATTTTTTTTTGTTATTTATTCCACAAAATATCATTATTAATTATTTTTGTGGAAATTACATTCATGTATAAAATAATTATTAATAATATTTATAAATTATTTACAATATTAAATAATTTTTATTCATTAATCAATATCATATTGTTAAACAAAATAAAAAGAAGAGTTGAATAGGTAAAATGATACCTTAAAATAAAAGCCTTTGAATTAGAGAAATATACATTGCTGGAAGAAAGTTAACGTATGGCTGCTTGATGGATAGCCTGACACGTGGCATAACATAATTGGCTGGATGTTGTGAGTGGAGTGTGCATGTACACATGGCGAGCTTCTGTTGGACGGAAGGGTGGGTGCACAGAGACTGATCTGCACCCAGTTGCAGCAAATCAGGCACGGTGGAAGGTGCTCCTCCACTTTCATGGAAACTACCCATGAAGTGAGAGTAGAGGAGGTAAACAATACCTCTACTAGTTTGATCCATCAATTATCAACCACTATCACATTAGCCACTTTCATTCAAACTAGTAACTTCCAAGAACATGAATCACTCATTGTTAAATTAATCTAATAATCTTCCACTTGATTCATATAATGTAGTGAAGATTCATAAAATAACTTTAATTACGAACTTTCATTGAACCTTATAAATCATCAACCTTAATTGAATTGAAATGATTGAATCATGACGGTCATAAGTTATATGACACAACCTTATCCCTTCCATGTATAACAACCAACTCAACTCAATTAACTTTAATTTCAGTCTTCACCTACCTTTCGAAAACTCACCAAATTATTTCATTAAAACCATACATGTACATTCTTTAATATGGATAACTTAAACTTTAATTACAGAAATGAAACTTTCATTGAATTCAAGTGTGTCATACAATGATAAGCAAACATCTATATATGTATATGTACATCAGGTACAATCACATTAACAAGGACTTATCTATAATGTCCATCCTTTCTACACGACCAATGTAAATTTTGGCCGATCGACAATCCCTTAGTTAACGGATCTGCTACCATTATATCGGTACCATTATGCTTTATAGACACCTTCTATTTTCATACTTCTTCTTTAACTGAGAGGTACTTTAAATCCATATATTTTGGTACCTCTAGAATACCTATCATTCTTAGAGAAGAAGACAACTAAAAAATTATCACAATAAAATTTCAGTGGCCTTGCTACATTGTCTATAATGCCAAGCCTTGAAGTAAAGTTCCGGAGGCACAATGCATTATTTTTTGCCTCAAAGCATGCCACAAACTCAATCTCCATGGTGGACATAGCAATTACAGATTGTCTACCGCTTCTCCATGATATGGCTCCTCCAGCCATTAGGAAGACATAACCAAATGTAGATTTCCTTGAGTCCAAACATCGTGCATAGTCTGAATCCAAATAAAAGATCACCTCAAGATGATCTAACCTTTTATACGTGAGCATGTGATCCTTAATACCTTGCAAATATCTTAGAACCATCTTTGCAGCCTTCTAGTGATCCATTACGGGGTTACTTTAATATCGGTCTAACATTTCAACAGCAAAACTGATATTCGGTCGAGTGTATGTCTGAGCATACATTAAACTCTCAACCACTGATGCATAGGTAATAGATTCCATTTCCTTACGTTCCAAATCATTCCTTGGACGTTGCTTTTCACTAAATTTGTCCCATTTTTAGATAGGAACTATCCATGTGAAGCATTTTTCCATTATGAATCTCTCTAATACCTTATTGATATATCCTTTTTACGACAAGGCCAACAATCCTTGTGATCTATCACAGAATATTTCTATTCCTATCACATAGGATGCCTCAACCATATCCTTCATTTCAAAATTATTAGAGAGAAACTTTTGTACATCATGTAACTATCATTTATCATTTGCAGCAAGCAGAATATCATCAACATATAAGACTAATATTATAAACTTGCTCCCACAGACTTTCATGTAGATACATCGGTCAACAATGTTTTCTACAAACCCATATGACATAATGTTATCATTGAACTTTATATACCATTGTCTGGAAGCTTGTTTTACTCTATATATTGACTTATTTAATGTACACACAAGATTTTCCTTTCATGCGGTCACGAACCTTTTCGGTTGGTTTATATAAACTTTCTCGTTTAAATCACCATTCATAAAGACAGTCTTTACGTCCATTTGGTGAAGTTCTAAGTCATAATGAGTGACCAAAGTCATAACAATTATTAAAGAATATTTCTTAGAAACTGGAGAGAAAGTTTCTTCATAATCAATGCCCTCTTTTTGAGTGAAACCCTTTGCGATAAGTCTAGCCTTATATCTATCAATGTTGCCTTTCGAGTCACATTTGGTCTTAAAGACCTATTTATAGCCAACTCGTTTTGAAGCCTCAGAAAACTCAACTAAATCCTAAAATTTATTATTGTCCATTGATTTCAACTATTCTTTCATAGCATTGAGCCACTTTTCAGAATTGTTACTTTTCATGGCTTGTATGAACGAGACTGGATCATTATCATTGCTTAAGTCACATTCATGTTTAAGTGAATATACAACATAATCGTTAAAAATAGTTGGTTTTCTTTTCCTTTTAGATCATCTTAATGTTATTTCTCGTGGTTCTTCCATCACTTGATCATTAACGACTTCATTAATCGGTTCATTAACTATTTGTTCATCTTGTGGGTTTTGGATATTATCTTGTTGTCTTGTTGGTTATTTGACAGTAATATAACCAGGGGAACAACAGCTTGAGGAGACATCTTCGGTAAAGAAGATTTATCTGTAGTCTCCATAATACCCACCTTTCATGATTTATCACTCCCATTGGTTTGACTATTTTCAATGAACCTAGCATTTCCAAACTCTACTATTCTCATACTATGGTTAGGACAATAAAACATGTACCCTTTTGACTTTTCCGGATAGCCGAGAAAGAAACCACTAATGGTTCTTCCATCAAGTTTCTTTTCATATGAGTTATACACCTTTACTTCTGTTGGACAACCCCAAACATGGATATGTCTCAAACTAGGTTTCCTTCCAGTCCATAAGTCATATGGAGTTTTAGAAACTGACTTACTAGGAACCCTATTGAGCATATACGCAACATTACTTAATGCGTACATCCACAACGATAAAGGTACATCACAATCAATCCACATTGATCTTTTCAAGTTGCCTTTCAACTTCGTCAATGAATACCTTTAGGACATCCAATGATTGAGATTTTTCATGCAATAAATATAGGTAACAATAATGTGAGTAATCGTCTATAAAAGTGATGAAATACTTTTCACCACCCCAAGATAAAACATCAAAAGGACCACAAATATATGTGTGTATCAATTCAAGAACTTTGCTACTTCTTATGGCTGAGTTCTTTGATATGTGTTTAGTTTGCTACTCCAAAAGAAGTAAAATCTCACTTTTTGTTAACCTTATTATCCTTTCTTTAGATATATGGCCTAATCTTTTATGCCACAAGTAAGCAGAATTCTTATCAAAATCTTTAAGCTTGCTACCAACATCATATTCAACCTTAAATAAAGATTCCTTAAATTTAAAATCAAGATTGAAGCAATATAAACTTCATTAATGTACCAAAACCAAAATAATATGAATGTTTATACAAATTTAAACTAGAATGTTCAATCTTAAAATTAAATCCTATACAATCCAGCCTAGCAACAGAAACTAAGTTCCTGACACATTCAGGAACATAAAAACAGTTTTCTAGATCTAAATTGTTTCCACTATCTAGGTTAAATATATATGTTCCAATTCCATGAACTTGTGCCTTCATTATGTTCCCAATGTAAAGAAACTTCTCAGTTTCCTTAGTTTGGATTGAAATGAATCCCTGCACAATATGTGACATATGAGTTGTTGCACCAGAGTCTAACTATCAAGTATTATTAGGTACCCCGCTAAGAAATAATTCATCCATAACAGAAACAAATTTTTTACCTTTCTTTTCAAAACATTTCTTCATTTTAGGACAATCCTCCTTCTAGTGCCCATTCTTCTTATAGAAGAAGCACTTCATCTCTTTATGGATTTTCCATTCTTTAAGGGGGGTCTTTTCCTTCCCCTTTCCTTTGTTCCTATTACTTGCCTTGAATCTGTTGGTGCTAGCTGACTCCTGAATGGATAAGTGAGTGAAATCATTCTTAATTTTCTTTGCATGACTTTTACTTCATGAAAATTCCATTCACTACAACATTTTTGACCTCTGGCAACGTCTGAAAACCGTGGCCAAAAATCAAAAAACCGTTGTCTTTGCCAAAGGCAACGATTTTATAACTGTAGTAGTCTGAGGCATTACCTTTAGTTTAGGGCACGGTTTTTTGACTTTTGGCAACACCTTTTTAAAACCGTTGTCTAATATTTGAATAAACAACGATTTTTGTTCAATGTTAACAGCAACAGTTAAAAACTGTGGTCTAAAAGAAAAGCTAAAAACCGCTATCATTGTGTTCATTGGCAACAATTATGAAATCGTTGTCACTGTGTATAAAGGCAATAGTTTGAAAACCATGGCCATTTGTTTTTATATGCAACACCATATAAACCATGGTCATTGTCTACGTAGATAAGAAAATCGTTGTCTTTGGTCTTGTGTTCATTTTAGAAATTGATAAATGTTGCCTTTGCTACACCTTATATACAACCCTTAACTACTCTACCTTTTTGTAAATAAATTTGTGCATTTAAAATTTAAATTTTAAGAAAATCATTATTTTCGATAATACTCTCAGAACAATAAATACTAAGAAATTTGAAACGAGCAACACTACAGAGACCACTCTACTACTATTTAACAAAATATAATTAGAATCAAAAATAGGAAATCTTGATTCATTCCAATCTATACTGTATGCGGCAAGTTGTCTGCAAATAGAGAAGTTATAATAATGTTAACTTATCTGAATGAACATAAGTTTTTCCTAAAATAAAAATGGTAAAGTAGTCATTTTCTTTAGAAAAATGTCATACATTATAATCCTGTAATTTATTTTCATGTGCATGTTTTGACTTGAATGAAAAAAGTATAAACCTGCTATCATCAAAGCTGGAAGAATTGCGACCAATATATAAATCACGAGTATCTTTCCCATATCCTGCAGTTTGTAGTGTTGGGTGGATATTAGGATTTGAATAAAATTAAAATAACCACTATTTAAGTTCACATTGTTGAATACACAAATCTAAGCATCCAGTTCTTCTAATGAATGAACTTGGATTTTTTTTAATTGTGTGTACCTTCACTATAGTCCAATGGTAGAGAGAAGCAGGTTTCCAGGGAAGTGGGCAAAACACTCTTCTAGGAACACCATGTGGAACTTGGCCTGGTTTACCATAAGATAGTGCAGTCTAAAACACTACCATCACTGGACACCCATAATCTGCTATAAAAAACATAGAATGTATAATAGTGCATTATTATACATGTTCTATTTTTAGAAAGACAACAATACAAGCACCCAAGGAATCTTAACTGAGTTTTTTTTTTACTTATTTTGTTTATTACAGGAGATGGCAGTATATATTTAGAATTTTGACATGTGCCAAAAAAACAAAATTAATGGTCCAAATTTTTTACTTTTTTAAATTAAATTTAAAAAAAAAACTTCCCCCTCTCATTCTTAATATTGGACTCTCCAGTACTGGAGAGGAATACTATTTAAACATATGAGTCTCAATGCACATTAAATAAAATGGTAGAATTCTACGAGTTTACAATGACTACTACAATGAATACATTAAATGAACAATTTATAATAGTCTAAACCATGAAGAATGAGCACAGGAGATACCACACTTATACTACAAGTATCTGAAACACATTTAAAGTTATTTTCATTTACTTTGAAATTCAATTGTTCTTTAATTCATTTAAATAGTTTTTATTAAGTCATTTGCTATTTAATTGATGATCTTTCATTTTCGTATTAATTACAATCTGTGAGTGAGATTAACAGATTCACAATAACATGTGATTGATTATAGTGGAAATTTGGTGATGCTAAAAAATAAGAAGTAACATGTGAGATTAGGTAATTTACTGTAAAAATTCATGTTTAATATCACTTCTTCATTAACTCTTTAATTGCTTAAATTATTTATTTTAGAAGGTTTTAAATTTGGGAGTTAACATTTTGTTTATGAACTTTTCTATACAGAAATATCTATTTAATTTTCTTTGTTAAAAGACAATATAATTGTCTAATTTCAATTATGGGAAGGAATCAGTCATTTAAGTTTTTAAATATTTTTAAATCTGCTTGTAATTATTCAAAAGATTCTTAGGTTATATTTAAGCAATTAAATAACCTTGTTGAGTTAAATTTTTCTATTTCAAACCATAGAGTATCAACCTCTTCTTCCATACGTATATTTATACAATTATATCGGCTTTTTATTTTCGGGGTTATAAAATAAGTGATATTATTACTGACAACCCTTTTGACTTCTAATATAAAGTGATAATGGATATGAGTTTAATGAGTGGATACCTATAGTAGTAAACTCATAGGGAATAATGGGAACCCTATTAAGTTAACACACAGGAAGGTTATGGTCCCCAATACACCAAATCAAACATAGTTTTCGTCTCTCTTCATCAGAGAGAAAGCGAAGGTCCCAGGAGGAATCAGAGATTTGGTTGAGGAAGACCATTATACCAAAACCTCTCTATGAATACATACAAAGGAACAAATCTGAGAACATGGATTTAGGTATGACATTGATTTGTATCCTTGATCTACATATTGAGTGAGAATCATGACATTCAAGATCCTAGGATTGGTATTTCACCAATTAATAGAGAATTCTAACAGTTTTGTGACACTGCAAAAAATGTGCGAACAGACTATTACTCATGATGTCCATGGGATAAAACAATCTAAACAATTGTTTCGGATACCACTGCACTGTGGAAACCATTTTGGAATTACACCCACATGCATGGATTTTCCACTCAATGATATGGCTAATGCCACTCAAAAGATATATGAGACAAAGAAGGAAACTGGAGAAAGCTCAAAGTGCTTCGATGGAGAAGAAAAAGCAGAGAGAGGAGAGAAGTTGATGAAAAGTATATCAGCTGTGTGATTTCCTAGGGTCCAAAGGCTCTACTTATATGCCCGAGAACCCAAACAACTAGAAAAAGGGCTAGATTGCATCCGTTATAAAAAATGAATGGTTAGATGAAGCGCAAGGGAAATAGGTGTTGGCATGTGCAAAATGTGTGCTTGTATGTACTGAACATACACTGGCGTGAGCCTAACGTTCAAAAACATGTGTCAGATGTGTGCTAACTTGTGAGGGCTTGCAGATTTGGACTTACTTTTTCCAAATTAAATAATTAAAATAATAGTCAGTTTGTTTAAAGAGATTTACACCACAAGACCGAGACCAAGACTTGAATATGAAGTGATTCTTGTCACGATAGGCGTGATGATTATGCGGTGTGCATCATTCCTTAGAAGTGTTTTCACTTCGTAATATGAGACTTACTATTTTTTAATTCATACACTTCAAGGTATCAATGATGATTTCAACATGTGTAAATGCCAAACCTAGGTTTGCATCAGCAACTTGCTAAAAACCTTGGTGGGTTGATGGTGTATGTTACAACTAAGAGTCAAACTTGGGACTTCACCAAATCTAGGAGACAGCGGTCTAGGCAGGGATGAGAAGGTGGATAAAGATGTAGTTCGTGTGTTTGAAAGATGAGCGTGATTCTGGAGAAAGGAGAAGTTTTCCTTCTTACATAATTGCCATTATAAAATACTCCATATCACATCTTAGCAATATTGAAAATAAAAGAACAATTGTTATCTTAAGAGATAAAATAATAGATATGAATCAATAAATCTTATTTAAATAGTCATGATTAAACAAAAAAATTCATTGGTTTTTTAAGTGGTCGTATAACCATTAACAAACTTTGAATCTTAACTCATCCATATATGATTGTATGGGCCATGGTAATCAAAATTGAGATTTTACTTAAGATTGGGAGGGGAGTCAAAGATCATCTATATCTATACTTCTATACTACTAATAAAGGCAAAACACAAATTAACCACCCACCATGGTGTAATTTGTGGTTGCCTATATTGCCCCCATTACTTTATAAATTTTATCAAAAAAACCATATCTATAATTTTATACTATTATTAAAGGCAAAACACAAATTAACCACCCACCATTGTGTAATTTGTGGTTGCCTATCTTGCCCTCATTACTTTATAAATTTTACCAAAAAAGTCGTATATAACACCTTATAGCACCTTTACATGCATATTCCTTATAGCACCTTTACAAATATTTGGATATTTGAGTCTTGGTCACTTTGACACTATTATATGAAATACATAGTTTTAATACATTCCTAAAAGTTGAATTTAAGAACATTACTTAATTAAAAATAAGGATCATAAATATAAAGCCATTCCTTGAATTTAAGAACATTACTTATTTTCTATTAATATGTAATGTTAGAACATATATTATATTTACAATTCGCCAAAATAAAGAGGTGGTGTGACATATTTTAATGGAAGGGAATGTAAATAAAAGTAAAATATATTTATTGTTTAATTTAAAAAATAAATGATGGATTTAAAAAGTATATGAAGATACTCATAATTCATGTACCATAAATGTAGCCGTGTAATATGATAACAGTGTAATTATATATAGCAATGTAAATATATATATATACATATACATATATATGAGCCGTGTAATTATATGTAGCAGTACAAATATATATATATATATATATATATATATATATATATATGTGTGTGAGAGAGAGAGAGCCGGTTTTAAGAGAAAAGTTAAAAAAAATGTGTGTCATGCCATTAATTTTGTGCCATTATTGTGTGAAGAGTTTTGGAACTGCGTGTTAGTTTCAACTGCTAATTGCAATGCTAAGTTGCTCACCCACTATTATTAATTGGTAAGATAGACTCTAATGTAACATATTGTCTTCAATGTACATGAACAACTATCAAACAAATTACCTATTCTGTTATCCCAAAAAAATATCAATTTTGGTGTTCACTGTATATTAAACTGCAAATTATAATACGTAACACAATTATAATATTAGACACTTATTTCATTTAGACTACACGTTACATACGATAGGAAAACGAGTTGACATGTCCGACATGGCATGTCAACACGCTAGTAAACACGACTCGTAAGATCCTACTTATCATTAGTTAAGTATGCAAAGAAATTCATATATATATATATATATATATATATATATAGACATAAATCCAAATCCAAACTTAATTAGCTAGAAACATAATTCCAAATCCAATTTCTCAAAGTATACATTTGCTAAAAATCATAATTTCAAGGCATAAATTTGCTAAGAAACATACTTCCAAATCCAAATCCAATATAAAAAAATTGACACTGAACAAAAATAAAAAAATCAACAGGTTAGTTTAACATGTGCAAAAAGGATTAGCAGTAAAAAATAGCAATAAATAATAACATATTAATAAAATCAGGACTTCAATAGTTTACCAAGTTTTAAGCATATATAGTCCACAAGTTTCTTATGGGAAATTCAACATAATAACAACACAATCTATAACATAGCAATATGCAGCGGATAATAATTTCTCATACTTGCAAGAATCTATGAGGAACAATCAACAAATATGGCAACAACTAAATACAAGAGAGTCTCAAAATATAGCACAAATCGTGCTCAACAAGTGTACAAAGCAATAAAGCATTAAACTTGAAAATGATAACAACGAAGAACCATAAATCCTTTATTCTCTTCTTTCTCACTTTTCTCTTACCTCTCTTACTAAAATCACACATTTCTCTTGACCTAAGTAATAGCAATGAGCTTGCTCATATTAGACATTTCTCCACATAGGAAAGGAGTCCAAAACCTCAACAATAATAATAAAGGGATAAAAAGACATAAAGAGGAAAAAATAAGAGAAAGGGATAAAAAATAAAACAGAGAAGAGACAAATGTAAATGAGAAGAGAAGAGAAAAAAATAAAAAGAGAAACACTAACAAAGCAGAGAAGAGACCAAAGTAAAGGAGAAAAAAAAGATAAAGGAAATAAAAATTAAGTAAAGCAATAAAAGAGAAAAGAAAAAAGAAGGAAGAGAAGACGAAATAAGAAGACTAAGGCAACGAAGAAGAAGAAGAAAGAGAAAAAAAAAACAAAGAGAAGAAAACAGAGACAAATGTGCACCTGTTGAAAGTTGAAACAGAGAAGGCTTCTGAAAATTGTGTAAGTTGTTGGTTTTTTAGGATTTTTGGATTTCTGAAACTCATACCTCTTTCAAAGTTCAAATGGGTTCTTTAATTTAGGATTTTAGAGTCTTTTAACTTGGGTAGTTGCAGCCCAAACATTTGGAGAACGCAAACACCGATTCCACATCTCCTCACGGGGATTTCATAAGCCTGTCTCCTCTAGAGAATGTTGTTGGGATCGAACACGTAAAAATGTCCAATCTCACGTGCTATCATGCGATTTTGACTACCATGATATGAACTAAATTTATTATTATCATAATTCTCATAATCTCAATTATTCTCACTCGAGTCACTCCCTTCTATGCTGTTTAACTTGATGTGTTCAAGTTTTTTGAGGAGATGGAATGTAAAGAGATGAAGTAAAAGGATGTTGACATTTTGTATTCCAATACTATAAAGATATAAACATTTCCTAATATGGCATGGAGGGGAATCAGGTTCTAACCATCACATCAACAACAAAGGAAACACTTAGCAATTGACACAACATAGACCCATTAATAATTATCTACTAACAGTATGAGTTTCCTATTCAACTCATGTCATCAAACATCAATGTTTTTACATGAACCACAAGGGCAAATCATAAGCACCTAATAAAACACTGCTTCTTCTAACAGAAGCTAAGCCCTGCACATCATGGTACAAAAACATGGACAGTGAAATCAGTAATTTAGCAAGGAATATTTCACTCTCAAAACAATTTTCCCCTTTTCAACACCAAGCTTTCCACCAGTAACTAACCAATGGCCCGGAGGATCTTGCGGTCCTTGGCTCATCTCGGACAAGTCGACAAACTTCACCAACTTGTTCACCGATACGTTTTCTCTAGAACCAATGCTTGACTCATCTGGATTGGAAGTGTTGCCAGCAGGGACAATTTTCGGTGACTTGATTGGGGTGTGATCCCATAGTGATCTTCGGATCGTGCAGCCAGGTAACCTAGAATACAAGAGCTTCATGTACAATACATTCCGCAATCCGAAATCCCACACTCCAAGCTGTGCTCCAGTAACTATGTAGACACCAGAGAAGTCTCCTATAAATGTTTCAGGGTTCTCAATTGGTGCAGTACTCACATGAGAAAAGTTCTTCCATTTAAGAGGCTCAAACCACCGGCTATCTTGTTCCTCGGGTCCCTGCCACTTGGGAGCACCGATAGCTACATGGCTCTCCCAATACGGCTGAAGAATCTTCGGAAGGGATATTAAATGTTGCAGATGAACACTCAGGCGATTCTGCTTGCTTCCTTCTAAACAAAGACGTAAGCCGGTTACTGGCCTACGTCCAACTGTAATCTGCATTTAAAGAATCATCATGTTTAAATTGAGTTGGTATGTGCCAATTATCTTCTACATTTCAATGGCTTCTCACTAACCCAACTAGTCAACAATTATATAAATTTGGAATTAAGTCACCAAAATACTAAGATGACAGTAAATACTTAAATCCACATTTCATCTGGAAGCTTTCTTCTCTAAGCATAGATGCAACTAAATAACAGGTTAGCATACCTTGATACCATTTCTTCAATAATATAGTTCAAGACTGGAATTATATAATTCATGCAGAATAATAATGGGCATGACGAAAATCATGTTTAAGGCAAACATTCCTTTTAAGTAATCTTCGCAGACGGAAATGAACTAAAGAAGAAATACTAGTAAACAGTACAAGATATTATGACCACATCAGTGATTTTCCAGTTTCATTATTAGGTATTTACGGCGAAGCTTCTCTTTTGAAGATTAACACTGTCATCGCCCACCCCACCCTATTTCC